AGGAAGAAAACAAATCAACTAAAAGTTGATTTTCTTGACGGCCAATTTACGACGCTCCACAGCTTTTCCCTAAATACAGTGAGACATCCTAAAATCACTGAGGATAACATCCACTTATTGACCAGAATAAGGATGGAGGACTGCGTGCAGAGCGTGCGGAACGCCGCCAAATTGTCTCTACAGCAAGGCTAGTGATGGTAGATAGAAAGACCACTACTTTTACCAACAGGGTAAGAATGTCTAGCAAACATTCTAGTAGTGGCTCGAAAGAGCGCAAAAATAGAGCATTTACGGATAGTCCAAGCATTATAAATGTAACACAACGACGTTGGTGCAGGCTATTATTTTTTCTGAGTTAGTCTGCTTGAAAGCGACCAAGATTACTTGTTCAAAAACAAGATCATTGGCTGAATAACCGCAGCAGCAGCAGCTTATCACGAAAAGCGTAAAGCATCACCTTTCGCATAGTTTTTTAGAAGGCTATGTAACGCGGTTTCCCTCGGACATTTCCCATCGTTACTGTTGCTATACAGTCTGTTGTCCGTCGTTAATCTCGCTGCACCGTTTACACGATCTGTACCTTATGAGCAGACCTACATTATTAAATCATCATAATTCAACATATATAAGTCTGGATTAAGTCGACGAGTTGATTTCGTCCAGTTACACTTGTAAAATGTCTATAAAACTTATGTAAAATGTGTATAATTCAAATTATTTATGCCAGCGTTATGTCTTCCAGTTAATTCCGCGCAGATTTACACTGTTAAACCAGCATATATCAATATATATAGCTATGGATTAAGTCGACGAGTTGAATCTGTGCTGTTACACTTGTGAAATGTGTATAAAACTTTTGTCAAATGTGTATAACCCAAACCTGTATGTGTCGAAACATACAGGTTTAACGATGTAGATCAGCGCGGAATTAACCCGAAGACATAACGGTGGTGTAAATAATTTGAATTTTACACATTTTACGTAAGTTTTATACACATTTCACAAGTGTAACTGCAAATATTTAACTTGCAGACCTAATCCAAACCTATATGTGGTGAAATATACAGCTTTAACAGTGTAGATCTGCGCGGATTTAACTAGAAGACATATCGCTAATATAATTTGAAGTATACACATTTTACATAATTTTATACACATTTCACAAGTGTAACAGTACGGAATCAACTCGTCGACTTAATCCATACTTATATATGTTGAAATATGCTGATTTAACAATGCATATATGCGCGTAACTAACTAGAAGACATAACGCTGGTATAAATAGTTTGAATTTCACACATTCTACATAAGTTTTATACACATTTAGATGTGTTCGAATAGAAATGAGGATGCAAAAGAAAACGATAATGAAGGTGAAATTTCTGCACGTATCCGCAGCCGTTCTGCGTATCGAATGTGCGTCCACTTTGCCGACCAACACGCTTTCTACAAGCTAACAGTAATTCTTGAAATGCGTCCCTTTCGGCTTGGAAGCACCTAGCCCGATCAATCTAGGACGGTCACTTACTTGACTCTGCACTAATGTGAATTACCTACACAGAACAGTCGTTACAGCTGAAGGACGCCAGAATACGAGATTTCATGCTATTTTCTTTAAGAAGATTTTGCATGAAGGAGGGAAACTCCCGTTCTGTTGAGCATTCATTCCTTTTCTTTTCAGCAGAATATGCCACCTGATGCTTGCTCAATCCTAAAAGAATCATTGGCGACGCGCACTGGGGGGCCCCGTGCGATTATGCGTTTTTGCAGTGTTTCGTGCTGTAATAAGATTACTCGAAATCCCGCTAGCTAAAAACCTCTTATACATACCGGTCCTCGAATTTCGGGAACTTAATTATCCACGATATAGTTGGACAGGGAACATTCTCTTGAACTCCCAGGTTCCCAGCATTCTTAGTTTCCGAGTTACCCAAATTGCAGCCAAAAAATTTCACGGGGCCGAGCGTAGCCACCATGCAAAACGGGGGGCTGAATTTGATAAATTCAAGTTGCAGATGAGTTGGGGACATTTCCTGGAAATTTCAGCCTCCCAGCTTTCTTGGTTCCCGAGCTAGCGATTTTCGCGCCAGGAGCCCCTGGGGGA